AAGTAAATTTTTTGGATATATAATGGATTATATAAAAAATGATAGCTCTCTTTTTTTCTTCAATCCTTTTGCACTTGACTTAAAGTTCCAAGCTGAAATCTTAAACTTGAAATCTTAGGTTCTTAATTAGTTGGAGCCATCTCCTTGTGGGTGAAACAAAGGCTTTGTAAAGCTAAGACTGGTATTAATATTGGACGCAATTTTACATGTATTAGATAAAACTTAATATATTTTTTTATCCAAGGTTTATTGGGATTATATCTTGAAAGAATTCTGAAGAAAGAAAGAAAAGGGAAGTGAAACAGACAATCTAGCAGCTCCCTCTCTTTTCAGAGAGATTTTAGAAACACTAGCTAGGGAAAAGTTGTCTGCAATGCCTACCAGGCCGCTCTCGCAGATTTGCTGCTACACTGCCAACAACCTCAGTTATCAAGTCTTTAAAGATCAACCGCTCAAGATCTAACACTACCCATGGAAGTTCATTTTGGAAAACTGTCCATTCAACAGATTGATGCTTCAAATCTGCCAATAAGATGTCTTTCAGACTATCATCTTCATCGTCTAAGCTGCAATATGAGTTAGCATTCAGGCAATCAATTTCTCTACATAAATATCTCAGAAGCTGCTGTCCTCCTAGTCTTCTGTCTGCCAGCTTATTTGATGATAGCCATTGCTCCCTAGAGCCTTCCTTTTGCAATTTGCTGGCTAGAAGTTCATTAACAGCATCAAATATAAGTTTCCTGTGATCTCTCTGAATTGTTTCTGTCAGGTTGATTCCCTGACCATTTCTTTTGTGATTTGAAAGCCTAGTGCTTGTCTTGGTTTGTTCTAAGACCAGGAATAAGCTGGGGTTGATTGGTTTGCCTGATGGATGAAACTGAAGTATAGCAGAGCCAGATTCAAGCTCCCTGAGGATATCTGATGCCAATAATATTTCTGAGATGTATTTGTGGTCTGGATTTGTGCTGTTGTTGATGGGTAAGATTTCCTTGGTAATGGATTCCTCATGAGTGGACTCCACATGTGTGGCTTTTTGAACCAAATGCTCTATGTTTTCTACCTTCCCATAATCATGCTTGTGGTTGGAGCTTTTGCAGTCAGGTAACTCTTTTGAATCTGAATTCCAGGAGCTCCACTCCACTTCGTCTGGATTAAGGCATCCATCATCTGAAAGTCAAATAGATGTCAGCGCATGAAAAAGCATTGAAAGTTTCTTTCAAATTAAGGTTTTTTTTACCTGTTTCTAATTTCTTTTCCTAATAATTTCCTCAATATTTTGTAATGAGAAAGGTATTTTCAGTGCGGACTACAATTTTTTTTGTGCAATCTGGTACTAAAATTACAAAAACACCATTAATGAATAAGATTAGTGGACAATTTCATGGAAGGTATTTAGGTAATTTCAGTATTTAGACTGCACAAAGAAAATGCAGTCCGTAGTGAAAAACACCTTTTTGTTTTGTGATTTTGTTGAACATCAACTAATCTGACCCCACCCCCCAAAAAATAAATAAATAAACTAACAGATTTGATTGGTTCAGTGTAGTTATTAACATGTAGTCATGAGTTCCTTTTCCTGATGAATAGGTTTTAAATTAATTGAGTTTCAGGGTGGTACATATAAAAGATAAAGGCTAAAGGAGTTTCACCTTTGAAGGCATTGGATATCTTCTTCACAGGAGAAGGTGATTCATCTCCATAAAATGTAGCATCAAGAACGGAGACGGGACTTGGTTGTTCTAGCGCAACTTTTATAGGCTCTGCTATTGATCCTTCTTCAAGTAACCTTGCATTCGGATTCTAAATGAAAAATGGAAATTGTGTAAGGAGATCGTTGAAATACATTATTCATGAATTCAAGCTCAAAGACTTACATTCCACTTCTCCTTCTGCTGCTGAAATAAGGTGGTGCTTATCTTGCTAGATTTGTCCGTGCTTGTGACTTCATTATCAGTAGTGGAGACCAAGCTTGTATTGGTTTCTGATTGCACTGAACTAGCATCTTCTTGATGGCTCAAATCTCTCAGGTAACTACTGACGTCATTCAATTGATCATCATATTGCCGCAAACTGGGGGATTTATGTTGGGGTTTCAGAAATGGCGTGCATGATTCTGTCTGTTGTCTGCTTGGCTGCCTCCTTCTGCTCTGCTCTGATCTTGAGGCAGTGCAACTAGAATGCTTCTCCATCTCAAGCTTCTTCTGTTGCAATTTAAGGCTTATGCTGTCTGAGCTCATACTTGACCTCTGGATTTCTTGGTTTTTGCATGAAGGAACTTTTGAAGCTTGAATTAATCTTGGACTTCTGACATTGTTCTTCTCTGTTGGATGGATTTGACTACAAGGGTCCCTGAGATGATTGTGTCTTGGAGTTAACTCTTCAGCTGATTGCTCGCCAACCTTTTCCCTTCTAGAATTTGAGGAGTCCCTTGTCCTGAGCCTGCTAACACTGTCAATTGTACTGACTGACGATGTTGGACTGCTAGCTCTTTCAGCAAATTTAACTGGTTTCATTATCATGACAGTGGTTCTTGATTTCCTTGGTGAAGTAGTTCCCTTGTTAGTTGCAGAAGATGTAGTATTAGTTTCTAGACTGCTGAAATTTGCAAATTTTGAGTTCTGATCAAGGTTGCTGTTGATTCTTTCCTGAGAAACAAAGTTTGAAGCTTGACCTTCTTTTCTGTTCTCCAACCCCTGTTTACTTTTCTGCATTGCTTCAAGTATTTGCTTGAGAGCTCTGAGATCCTTTCCTGACCTTTTGAACTCAAGTTGTGCCAACCTTCTCTCAATTTCACCATAAACTGTGAGTGAGGAGTTTGGCGGTTTCACAGGAGTTTCTTTGCACTTTGAAGGTGGTTTCTGACCCTTGTTTAAATCTGGATGTTTCCATGGTGCTGGTTCAATTGGACACTTGCTTGAGATGGGGGTTTTGGCCGAATCAGCTCTTCTTAAATGGACTGAAATGGGCTCCTTGCTGGCTTTCCTGGGGGAACTAGAAATTGGATTTTGCTTGCTATCATCAGTTCCTGGTGACTGCTCTTTTCCAACTGAGCAGGTTTTGATATCCCAGGTTTGATTCCCAGTGATGGCCATGGAGTTTGACAAAGAATCCAACCCCATCAACTTGGCTACAATACTAGACGGTCCTCTGTAGCTTCCTGGTTCTTGCTGTTGGTTTTCCATATCAATGGAGTCGACATTCCTTCTGTGCAGCTTACCGTCCAAGGATAACCTTGGCAATTCTTTAAGCTTTATTTTGATTGTATCCTGTGAGACCCTCTCATCATAGGAAAACCTTGGAGCATCTCTGGGCGTGAAAGCAAGTGAACCATCCTTTCTTTCACTGGAAGCCCTAGGTACTTCTTGAAGCTTTGCAAGAACTCGAAGTGAATCATTGTGAGCAGGACTTCTAGTCTTGGTGGATCTTGGTGACTGTAAGGGCCTTGGAGAATCTATATGCTTCAAGGTTTGCTGTCCAGATTCATGTTTGGTTGTAGTTTTAATTGACAACCCACGAGTTTCTCTGCGGATGGAGTCTTTGACCACATCGCGGAGGTCAAGGGATTTGCTTAATGGCAAAGTAACATTTGATCGGTAACTGGAAAAGTTCCGAGTAGGGGTTTCAGGGAAGTTGGTCTGGGTCAAAGACGATCGTGGTGTTAGAGGTGTTCTGTTACAATCAGCAGATGTGTGACTAGATGAACAGGAGGAAGTAGATGAAATTGAGGTTCTGGATGATTCAGTGGAAGCTCTTTGTTTTTCCTTCATAGCTCTTTGTTTCTCCTTCATACTCTTCTTGACATTTTTTGCCTGCAGGTATAACTTAAATTAGCTTTCTTCAATTCTTTTGGTGAATTTCTACACTGAACATTTAGGTTTGAATTCTTACTGTTTTCTTTTCTGAAGCTTTCTTGGGCTCCATGCCATGGCTGCTGCTATCTGGACCTACAGAAGCACTGAATGTTAGTAGTTGAAAGTTGCAAGATAGATTGGTTATGGAAATTCAAGTTTGCAACAATCAGTTGATACTTATGACAAGGTTCTGAACTGCTGCTGCACGATGTAACTAATGAGATCAAGAATATTCGTAATTGCAAAAACAGGGGAATCTTGAAGAAGTGGCAGACTTAAAGACAACTGAATTTAAGACGTTTATTCAGCCTTTTGGTCCAAGGCTCAATGACTTGACACGAGGCGTTTAGCCTAAAATGCATTCCACAACAGCAACAAAATTGTAAAGAGCTTTAACATCATCTATGCAGAGTTGAAAGAACTACAGGAAAGCAAAATTGTTTCCTATTTCGCTGTGCAAACGTGGAACTGGAGAGGATCTTAACTGACAAAAAATCTTTTAAAGGCTAACTTTGGCATTTTCACAAGTTTCTGAATTTAACAGAACTAGACCTCTTTTACAAGCTTTCTTGCCTGCCGCTGAGCCTATATGAAGTTTCTTTAAGTTCTTGAACTACAAAATGTTAAAGATACAGGAGGTACCTGGTGGAAGCCTCCTGTGGTTTTGACCTATGACTCGCCGGCCACCAAGGAAATGCTGGAATAGTCCATTTATGCACCCAATCTGCTTCTGGAGATTTTGGTGATCATCTGGATGGGAATTTAGAAGCTTTGCAGACATGATCACGTCCTCTCTTCAACCAAACTGACCAAAGAACTCTCTCAGGTTGCCTTCTCTGTCCCTCTCAGTGTTTTCAGCATCTGTGTACCTGGGAGAAGACGAAAATTTAAGAAAACACTCAGATGACAGAGAATGTTTTGCAGAGTGTTGGAAGCTTAATACACTATCAAGCATCAATAGAAGAATTTTGCATAATAAATCTTTAGGTATTTTCTGTTCTCAGGTTCCTGGTAAGCCTTTTTTTCTTTAATGCTAATGCCCTATCCTTTTATTTTTGATGTGGGGTTTCATAGAATTTTCTGGGAAGGAGAAACGAAGACACAAAATAGCCCCACATTCTTTTTCTCCTCCCATTCGTAATGGGATGGTTAAAACTCCTTTTCATGGGTTTCACAGAAGAAGGCAGACAATGTCTTCTGCAAAACCCAGAAGGAACAAAAGAAATAAATGGGAAGGGGCCTAGCATTAAACACTTACCGTTAGCCCCACCTCTCCCACTGAAAAAATGTTGCAGGGAAGTTTTTGCAGATCCAAGAAGAGATGTTTTCTGGGTTTCCTCAGAGAACAAAAGAATGCTTTGTCTTTTGGCTCTCTCTAGGAAAGGCAGCTAAGGGGGTGTAAAGCATATAAGAAGGGAAATGTGGTGTACTATATGAAGGCAACGCCTCTGAGAAGATTAAGAAGTGGTGTAAATGCCTGCCTTTTTATATTATATATGTGTCTTGATCTATACGTAAGAGAAAGAGAGAGATTTGGAAATTGGAATGCGGGGAGGGGGAGAGAGAGAGAGAGAGAGAGATTGGGGGATTAAACAAATAAATAAATAATGGAAAAGGGGGAGGAGGTGTGAGTGTGAAGAGGTGGGTCAGATCCATGAGGACAAAATAATGTGGGTTGGTTTGGAGCCTGGACCGGTCTCCCATGAGCATGTGGAGTCTGTCAGAGAATGGCAACAAATAAGAAAGTGGATTTGTGCTCTGTAAAGCCTAGTTTTTCAACATATCTCTAGCTAACTTACCATACTACCCTTCCCAAAGATTCCTGTTTGCTGGATTTTGACTTGACATTTCAACAACATCAACTTGTTTGCCACTTGAAATAACATCCCTTTCTTTTTCTTCATTGGACCTTCCCTTGGGTCATCTGCATTGTCTTCAATGAGAATATAAGGCCATTTTGAAGCAACATCACTGCTATTTTAAATCAGAAAATTTTAGTCTCTGCTTAAATATCTGCCTTCTAAATTTTCAATCATATGAACTTAAACTGAATCTGATGATATGACAGCATACAAAGAACAGTGACATTGTGCTTTTCACATTCAGTATCTAATTATGTGATGCCTATACAGATTCCTAACTGATGCATTACATTTAGCTGCTAATAACTCTTTTCATCTGATTGTTGGCATTTTCCATGTTCAATTGTTTGATTAATCATTGGAAACTTGTACGTGATTAGATGCATACTCAGAAAGCACATACATGTAATGTAATAATACTTTTTTCTTGCACTAATTCAGCACGCGAATTTGAGTCTAAAATAAGCTATGAAATTGCCATAGAAAAGCATGCTTTGGCTCTATCGGTAATGACTTGGTACAGATGAATATAATTAACTGTGGTCCAGTTTACAGGAAGGAGTTACTAGATTTTTGTTCGAAGACATTAGAGTACTTTACCCTAAAAGTGGTCAGAGGCTTCCATGCGTTCCAAAAATATGAAAAAGAGACGAGCATTTTCAGGGCAGGTATCAGCAATAATGAGCTTCTATGCATTCCAAAATTTTGAAGAAGAAACAAGCACTTTCTGGGCTGGGATCAGCAATAATGTGAAAGATTTTTCTCATTACCATTTATTGCGTAGCGGATAAACAGGGTCAGTCTATATCTCCTACCTTGTTTGCACAATTATACTGCATATATTACCCACATTCGATCTGCCTTCATTTTATGCTAGTACAAATTGTCAATCAATTTGGCATGAATCTTCAATGTTTTTTTCTGGAAAATGATGATTGTGAATGCTTACAAAATTGTATTTTTGAGTCTAGACTCTAGACACCCTATATGGTCAGCAGATCCTAGCTAATTGAGTTTTTATTATTACATACAAAATTGTGAGATGAACTGATGAAGGAAAAGGATTTACTAAATACTCAAATCAAAGTGTATCTTATCTTACATATTTTATGTATCATGCCGTCGATTTCTATTTCTGTGCCTTAATTATGTGACAGATAACATTGGGATTTGCAAGCATTTCTTGGATAAACAGCCTTAAATTAATTAATTTCTTGTTTAATGTTCAAGGAAGAATAAAGGGTTCTAAACGTATAATAGACATTGTTTAGCAACATGCTAGACATAAGAAGAATTATCCAACTGTATTATGAATGAGTTATACACTTATTACCAAGGATGATGGTACGTAGACAAGAATTTAATGTGTCATTTCATTTTGAATGAATTTAAAAAAATAAACTCCTCCTTAGTTATAATTAATTTTATTATCTTCCTATTAATTGTTTAACATAATTTATCTAGGAGAAAGAGTAGTACAACTCTATTGTGGTCTGTAAAAACTGCCGCATTATGTTTTTGGTTAAAGGTAAAGTTGCTTATAGATTTTAGAAACTACTGAATGCATCAAAGCTCTTATTTTGTTTTCATGCCGTTCACTATTGACTAAACCAACCCTGAACTTAATTTATGACGCTGTATAATTAATATCTTCTCTTTTATATATATA